TGGGGAGTAACCACAACAGCTGTAAGTGCTGTTGAGATCTGACTTACTGGGGAGTAACCACAACAGCTGTAAGTGCTGTTGATATTTGACTTACTGGGGAGTAATCACAACAGCTGTAAGTGCTGTTGAGATCTGACTTACTGGGTAGTAACCACAACAGATGTAAGTGCTGTTGATATCTGACTTACTGGGGAGTAACCACAACAGCTGTAAGTTCCGTTGGTGTTCATACAGCAGCTGTAACCACTTGCACAGGACTGGTCACCTCCAGGACAAATTTCTACAGCATCAGCAATCATCGAACCTTCCAACACTTTTGGTGAAGCTGTGTTTTCATTCTGTTAAGAAAAATACCGTAAACAGCTATTAAAAAAAATTCCAGAAATATTTAAATATATTCACAAAAATAATAATATATTCTCAAAAATACAAATATATTTAAAGAAATATTAAAATATATTCACAACAAGAGTACCGTGGGGCGGAACAATATACGGCCGTCGAATGCCATATAGTGTTATATACTTTCTTATATTGAAATAAGATCTGCATCATTCAAAGAGTGGTTAGCTGACCTGCTATAACAAGAGGCCCATGGGCCTTAACGGTCACCTGATATATTTATACAGAGTTGACTTTGTTTTTAACACGGCCAGTATTATTATTCAAAGTGACAAAAAACAATAAAACCACCTTACTCAATATCTAGCATACAGATTTCAGACTAAAAAGGATTTGAAACTAGCAACTTTGATTCTAAAACAGGAAAATGAAGAAATTTTAGCACAATGACTCCTTTGGGCCCCACCCTACAGCCCTATAGCACAATAGCTCCGGGGGGTCAGTCAGGTCTCATATGTGCATACCATCAAACTGCTACCCAATACGGATAATGCTAATCTAAATTGAATTACCTCCAATAGCAATTAAACAAATGTTGGTCCAAAATGTGATTTCCCTATATAAATTATAGTAAAGTTCACCCCCTCCCCAAGGGGAAACATGAGAACCCAGGGTCAAGAAATTTACAATTTTGGTAAAGCACCTTAAGACTTTTCAATCTATGAAGAGTATTTGTTTCTACCATATCTGGGTCTTGAAAAGAAGATTTTTGAAATTTTAGTCAACTTCACTCTTTTTGGCCCCGCCCCTCAAGCCCCTGGGGGCCGGAGACCAAACCGGCAACTATTTTTGTTAACCTTTGGCCATGGAAGGTTTCTGCAAAATTTCATTGAAATTGGTTCAGGGGTTTTGGAGAAGAAATCGAAAATGTAAATTGTTCACTGACGGACGACGGCGGACAAAAGGCGATCGTCTCAAGTGACCTAAAAATGTAGGAGAAAATCTCTGGATAAAAAAATCAAATACTGAGATAAACAAAGGGCAATAACTTTTGAAACGATTGTTGAATCAAAAGTCTTTTAATGGAGTCACAACTTCATATCATGATTATATAGCCTACTAAGTTTCAAAGAGATCCGTTGAAAAATATAGGAGGAGATTGCCGGACAAACAAAAGTTTACGCCGGACGGATGGACAACGCCATACCATAATACTCCCGTCAAATTTGACGGGCGTAAACACATATTAAAATAAATTCACAGAAATATTAAAACATATTCACAACTATTCAAATATATTCACAGAAATTTTAAGAATTCGTGGAACACCAATCATTGAACATGTATTGTCCTTGGTAGGGAAACAGGATTCTTTGTTTCCCAAAGAATACTCATGTTCATAGGGGCTTGAAGGGAAAACAAAAAATTGTTTCATACTCCGATGGCAATAGATATTTAATATACTGATATAAAACAATTCCACAACACAAAAGAACATTTAGGCTTCCCAGCCATTCTTGTCATCTGTTTCTGTTATTCTGAGCTCAGGTGTGGTGCCTCTTCTTCACATATTCATAGAGAGGCTCCAAATATGGGAAATATGACAGGGGAAACTTGGGCACACCAGGGGTACATAATTTTTTATTTCCCTGTCATGTGATCAATATAATCAAATCAGACCCCATCATAAGCCAGTCTCCCTATTTTTAACACTTCTCCCAAACAGTCCCCTCAGTTGGTTTGGTTTGGTGTGGTTTAATGTTTGTGTTTTACGTCCTAGTAACAGCTATGGTCAGTTAAGGACGTGTCAGGTTTTGGTGGTGGTGGAAAGCTGGAGTTCCCGGAAAAAACCACCGACCTACGGTCAGTACCAGGTGACTGCTCCACATAGTACTTATATATGTATGAACCAAAATTTGAATGCACATTTAAGTTCTGTCTGGATCTTTTTATCTGTAAGAGGCTGGTAAATGTGTTTTTCTTAATGTACTGCTTTCAAATTAGCAGGAAAAGTTTAAACTGCACAAAAAAATAATATCTGCTTTAAGTACATTATGCCTTTCAATCTATTGTTCTTAATGTGGCATCATCAGACGGAATGAAAATGGTGAAGATTTCTCGCACAGTTTCTTACTTAAGTAAACCCTTACAACATCACAATTACGCCTCATGAATATTTAAAACAATTTGCTGCTATAAAAAAAACTTGTTCCCTGGGATTGCAAACATGTCATGCCATACAGAGCAAATCTGTAATATTTATATATCTTCAGAAACTATAAAAGGAAATGCTCGGAGCAGTTTTACTGGCAGACAAATTATACTGACCTGATGGCCAGTAAGTTGCAATTGAAAGGCAGGAAGTTTTGTCATCAGAGGCATGAAGGAATCTCCCTGTACACAGCAGCCTTTAGTCAAATCACAGGTGTATCCTTGGCGACAGCAGTGCTTCATATCAGAACAGCACACAGCCTTAAACACAGTACAGAAGTTTGTAAAATATCGTTAATAACTATTAATACTTAACAGACAACACTAACATCAGGGAGGGGCCGCGGTGGCCCAGTGCTTAATGCCTCTGACATTCTGCTACCACTAGCCCTCCAACACTGGGTCGCGGGTTTGAGGCCTATGTGGGGCAGTCGCCAGGTACTGGCAGTAGGTTGGTATTTTTTCCTTCGGTAGTAACATATAGCAGAATTAATTGTGGTCTGAGGCCTGCATATCCAAACGGAAATTAAGGGGAGGTTACTGTACATACGAAAAAACAACAGTGCAGTGGGACAGGGCTCCTCAATACACAGGTTCTATATATATATATATATAAGTCACATCAGAATGTTACTTCTGTTACCTAGGTGATAGTGTTTCATACAGGTTGATGGATTATACAGGTGAAATCTACATAAACAAATGTATTAATTTTGTGATGGTTTGGTTTACTGTGAAATCAGATATTTTTGTGGGGCCCGAATTCCTTAGGCTTCAGGAAAAAAACGCCATTTTGTGGGTACATGAATTCGTGGATTACGAGTACCCACTCATACAGAGAAGAGTTAAAATGTTAAATATGTAAATACTTCGTAGATGAAGAGTTCCCAGGAAATTAAAAACCCTACAAAAACTAGTGATTCTATATAATTTAAAGTCAATGAAATATTTTCTAACATGTCTGTGTATAAATGATGACAGTCGTCCACGTACCTCTGGGTAGGGACAGCAGCCGTACCGCCCGCTGGCTAGTATACAACAGGTGGTATCATCTGGACATTCGGACATCCCTCCGGGACACATCACTCCATTAAATGGCTGTTCACTGATTGCAGGCTGGAACAAAAATGTTCAACAGTTCATATCTTTATAACCTTTTGTTATAACAAGCGAAGGTAAACGTACCTCAGTGATTTTTCAACCTAAATTTTACAAAAGCCTGTTCCTACGTGAGTTAGGAAAATATAGCATTATTTTGATTGAAATTGGGACAACATTCCTGATTTTTTCTTCATTTTGGGAAAATAGAGCACATTTAGCCAGGGAAAGTAGCTTGCTACAATTCTGCTGCAAAAACTCATTGTACCTACTCCATAGATGTAGTTGTACAGTGCTAACGACAGAAATACCTGTTTGCAAAGTACACCTCTCAAAGAAAGGATGTGCTAAGATTGTAGAAATACATCAGATGCAGCCTAGAGGGCCAAGTATGGGTATAATATAATATATGCTATGTAAGGTTACTTACTTAGTCTATGAATGTCTTTAGCAAGGGCCCAATTTTATCTGAAGCATCATCTTTAGTTAACACATCTATACAGGGATGCCAAGTCTCACAGCGTGAGACAAAATCTCACACTGAGAAGTCCTAACTCACGCTGAAATGTGTCTCACACCACGTGAGCCATAAATCTCACACTGAGAAGTCCTAACTCACGCTGAAACGTGTCTCACACCACGTGAGCCATAAATCTCACACTGATAAGTCCGAACTCACGCTGAAATGTGTCTCACACCACGTGAGCCATAAATCTCACACTGAGAAGTCCTAACTCACGCTGAAACGTGTCTCACACCACGTGAGCCATAAATCTCATGCATTCGACAATATTCTCCCTCCATGTCACGAGAAGCCATAAATCCACAATTTTAACTTGAACCATACAAAGGGGAATAACTCAAGTTACAATGTTTTGTCTTTGAAGGTGTCACTATATCCGGTCGAAATCCATGTAAATATATTGTAAGGCGAGTTGTTTTCACTCAGAAATTCGGTACTAAACAAGGCAGGTTTCGCTCCCAAAAGAACATTCTACTGATGATGTCGTCACTGATATAAATACCATATTCCCCTTATGAGGAGATAACTCTAGTTTGTTTTGAGATCTGTACCAATATATGTGTTACACTGGCTTTACTTTGCATCACTAGTAAAACTCAATTCAGAACAGTATAATCTCCATATACTGTCACGTATCTCAAAATACAGCTGGGTTATTTCCATTCTAATTAACCCTTTCAACCCTATGTAATTCTAGTAGACTCTACCATGCATTGATCCAGATAAGTCCATTATGGTTAACAGTGGTGAAAGGGTTAATTACAGTGTAATATAAGCTAAATCAATTAGACAACAAATTTGATAATTCTGGGGGACTCTGGACTCACATGTACTAACATACATGTGTCATGTACTAACATACATGTGTCATGTACTGACATACATGTGTCATGTACTGACAAGCATGTGTCATGTACTGACAAGCATGTGTCATGTACTGACATGCATGTGTCATGTACTGACATGCATGTGTCATGTACTGACATACATGTGTCATGAACTGACATACATGTGTCATGTACTGACATACATGTGTCATGTACTGACATACATGTGTCATGTACTAACATACATGTGTCATGTACTGACATACATGTGTCCAACTTTGGAGTGACCTAGGACTCATGTTACAAAACAGGTATGTTCCTCTATTTTTGGGGAACCCTGGGCTCATGTCCAGACATACATTTGTTGTATGTACGTACCTCTTCCTTAGGAGGAACCCTGGGCTCATGTCCAGACATACATTTGTTGTATGTACGTACCTCTTCCTTAGGAGGAACCCTGGACTCATGTCCAGACATACATTTGTTGTATGTACGTACCTCTTCCTTAGGAGGAACCCTGGACTCATGTCCAGACATACATTTGTTGTATGTACGTACCTCTTCCTTAGGAGGAACCCTGGACTCATGTCCAGACATACATTTGTTGTATGTACGTACCTCTTCCTTAGGAGGAACCCTGGACTCATGTCCAGACATACATTTGTTGTATGTACGTACCTCTTCCTTAGGAGGAACCCTGGACTCATGTCCAGACATACATTTGTTGTATGTACGTACCTCTTCCTTAGGAGGAACCCTGGACTCATGTCCAGACATACATTTGTTGTATGTACGTACCTCTTCCTTAGGAGGAACCCTGGACTCATGTCCAGACCTACATTTTTTGTATGTACGTACCTCTTCCTTAGGAGGAACCCTGGACTCATGTCCAGACATACATTTTTTGTATGTACGTACCTCTTCCTTAGGAGGAACCCTGGACTCATGTCCAGACATACATTTTTTGTATGTACGTACCTCTTCCTTAGGAGGAACCCTGGACTCTGGGTCTTCCACAAGATCATGTACAATAACATCAAGGCTGTCGTCACGGTCCTCATCAAATTCCATCACAATCTCATCCTGAAATAATTCTCAAAATACTCTTCAACATGATCAGGGTATACGTATCAGGTTAGCGGCACCTGATTCGCCCAACATCAAAAAAAAAAAAGCTGTTGGTGAAAAATTCAAAGTGTTGCCAATACAAATTACAGCAATGAAATTCATATTTTTAAATTTTTCCTAACCACTGGTTATCAACCTTTTGGTGACTGGGGCCTGATCTGTTAACTATGTATCAGACTGTGACGGTCAAGACAAAAATCGAGTTGTCAGCCGTGATTTGAGATACATTTAAAAACAGAAGATGTACACGAGATTCCTTCCTGGTAAAATTCAGAGGGACGTTAAAATTATTCATATATACATTGTACATGAAAAGAAGGAAGTTAGTAGAAATGAGCATAAATAGTTTCCAATCGTACTTTATAATCCTGTGTGCATATTTTATTTTTTTACCTACGTTATGCCTCTCGTATTGGTTTAATTCTTACCTGCTGGGTATGGGGTTTAAAGTAGAGAACATTTCCTGATACCAGAGATAAGGCCAACACCAGGAACAAAGCCTTCATGTACATCTACAACGTAAACACAGCCATCACGTTAAGTAAGGTAACACAGGTAAAGTGTAAACACAGCCATCACGTTAAGTAAGGTAACACAGGTACAGTGTAAACACAGCCATCACGTTAACCAAATGGTTACTAAGACACAGATCACAGAAGGAAATAACGCAAATACAGATTTGTATAGATTAATTTGGTTATATTTCTCTTTAACATTTAAATTAGGAAATAAAATCAAATATCAAAAATAATGCATCTAGCTAGAATTAATCATCAACATTGATAAATTCATATGAAAGTTGCCTGAAAAAAGGTATGATGTGTAAGGTAACACAGGTATGATGTGTAAGGTAACACAGGTATGATGTGTAAGGTGACACAGCTATGATGTGTAAGGTAACACAGGTATGATGTGTAAGGTAACACAGGTACATGTATGATGTGTAAGGTAGCACAGGTACATGTATGATGTGTAAGGTAACACAGGTACATGTATGATGTGTAAGGTAACACAGGTACATGTATGATGTGTAAGGTAACACAGGTATGATGTACGTGTAAGGTAACACAGGTATGATATGTAAGGTAACACAGGTATGATGTGTAAGGGAGCACAGATATGACATGTAAGGTAACACAGTTATATTGTGTAAGGTATGATGTGAAAGGTAACGCAGGTATGATGTGTAAGGTAGCACAGATATGATGGGCAAGGCAACACAGGTATGATGTGTAAGATAGCACAGGTATGATGTGTAAGGTAACACAGGTACATGTATTATGTGTAAGGTAGCACAGGTACATGTATGATGTGTAGGGTAACACAGGTACATGTATGATGTGTAAGGTAACACAGTTATGATGTACGTGTAAGGTAACACAGGTATGATACGTAAGGTAACACAGGTATGATGTGTAAGGTATGATGTGTAAGGTAACACAGGTATGATGTACGTGTAAGGTAACACAGGAATGATATGTAAGGTAACACAGGTATGATGTGTAAGGGAGCACAGATATGACATGTAAGGTAACACAGTTATATTGTGTAAGGTATGATGTGAAAGGTAACGCAGGTATGATGTGTAAGGTAGCACAGATATGATGGGCAAGGTAACACAGGTATGATGGGTAAGATAGCACAGGTATGATGTGTAAGGTAACACAGGTACATGTATGATGTGTAAGGTAACACAGGTATGATGTGTAAGGTAGCACAGATATGACATGTAAGGTAACACAGTTATATTGTGTAAGGTATGATGTGAAAGGTAACACAGGTATGATGTGTAAGGTAGCACAGATATGACATGTAAGGTAACACAGGTATGATGTGTAAGGTATGATGTGTAAGGTAACACGTACAGGTTCAATGTGTAAGGTATGACGTGTAAATTAACACATGTTTGGTTCGGTTTAATTTTGTTTAATGTCCAATTAACAGCTAAGGTCGTTTAAGGATGTGCCTCCATGTGTGCAGTATATGTATGATTGCATTTGGTGTGTGAGTGCAGGAGACAGAGTATGTTGTTGTGCTTGCCTCCTATCTCACTGAAATACCATGCCGAAGGGGTCACATGTTGCCATTCCCTTTAATGCTGAACGTTAAGCAGGGAATAACAACTACCATTTTCAAGGACTTTGGTATAGATGTATCAGCATGGGGACAGAACCAATTGCCTTCCTCACCTGGGCAAACACTGTACATTCAAGCCAAAAGTGAGGTGTTGCCAAGCAAGTCACTAGGAAATAAAAGGTAGCTAGATGTAGAAAGAAAGATAAAGATCCCAAATAATGCAATGGGCGCAGCAGATTTATTTTGGTCGCTTTTATGTCCCGAAATAGACGACACCAAAGCAAATCCCTAATTCTGCAGGGAGTTCCCCCATTAGTCGCCTCCTAGGATACATGCAGTTGGTAACAGCATGTGCATTCTGCAGGGGTGAAAACACAGGTATAACTTGTAAGATAACACAGGTATAACGTGAGATAACACAGGTATAACGTGTAAGATAACACAGGTATAACGTGAGATAACACAGGTATAATTTGTAAGATAACACAGGTATAACATGTAAGATAACACAGGTATAACGTGTAAGATAACACAGGTATAATGTATAAGGTACACATGTATGATGTGTGTAAAGTAATGCAGATATGATGTGTAAGGTTGCAGAGATATGATTTATACTGTAGCACAGTTATGATGTCTAAGTTAGCAAAACCATCATGCTAGCTCATTCTTCCAACACAATGAACGTACATCAACCAGATCTATAGGTAAACACATGAGTCATCAACAGGAAAACCCGGAATTCTGTCTGTACAGGTAAATTGCACAAAGAAGCAGATTAAGAGTGGATCCGAGTGTCGGTACATCCTCCTTTTACAGACCAGATATGTAAATATTTCGTCTGGTTTAACTTATTTTCTCAAACAAATTGTCAATACTGTTTTGCCCTTTGTCTTCAGGTCATTATTATTATAAGCCGAGTCTCCTCTCTTTCAATCAAAGTGCGGGATCCTGGATTGGACATTGCACGGTACAAGCTTTATCATTTAAACAGATTATAACTAATCAGATATAAATAGCCAATGCTATTTATTTTGGGCGAATATATACACGAGATAATTTTAAGAAGATAAACATGAACTTATCATGCAAAAAAATTCCAAAATAAATATTTCTACTTTCACTTTTGTGTCATGACAATTTCCGCCGACCGGTACACAAATAAAAACAAATAGTTACCTTTCATGCAGGTTATGTATAATGTACAATATGATTAATAGTTGGATGACAAACCTTTGACAGGACGGAATTGCTCTCAGACGTTGACAAACATCTGAATTTCAGTAAGAATAGTTGTTAACGACCGTTCAGCTTTGTGTAGTATATCCTAATCCTTGATCACGTGAAAACGTAAGTCACATGATTTAAAAGTCACGTGATGTAGCACCGAACAGACACGGAGTGAATTGAAATAGTAGCTTTTATTAGGTAATATTTTAAACATTTTAAAGAATTTTTAACTGCTTACAAGGGTCAGAAATTTGTTGTGAAAAATGTTTACTGCAATGAAGCAGGATTTTGCATGACCTCATTTGAGCTCGTAAGAAATTTATTGAAAATGTTGTCGGCAACGAAAGTATCAAAGTACTGAAAGTACTGAGATGCTAAACCTGGAATGCAACATGAAGTGTCCAGGCAGGCAGGCACAGTTTTGAAACTTTGTATTCACAATTTTGACGATCTTAGCAGTTCACTTGGCAAGACGGAACATTTACAGAGAAAATAGAGAAGAAAACGCAATTATAAAAAATCCTTGTGGTACATTGGAACTGTAATTAAGGGTGCAGTACATGTATATGTACCAAAGGGCAAACAACAAAAGGTCAAATTCAGAAGTTTTAAAAAATTCGGAGTGACTTCTTTTAACAGTGACTTACACCTTTTCATGTATCTTTTATCTTTGATGACTTGGATGATATTTATTGGGCACACGAGTATTTACTGCGTGAGGTGATGGACGCCCATATATTGTACCTATTGTTGAGAAAAAACCCAAACTCATCAAGCCACCTTATTTTAACAGTGAATTCCGCAAAGCAGCTTTTAGAAAACGGATGTTATTTAATAAATACAAAGCATATGTAGGAGTAATGAAAAGTACCCGAAACAGAGAAATTTGGTGGTTAAGTGGCGGAGGCAGGAGTCTATAAGAAACTACATGTACTTTTTCGAGAGATGTGCGGGTGATGCCAAGTATAAGGGCTTCTGACCCACAGTGAAGGCCCACAAATAAAGTCAAATCAAGCGGTGTTTCTACAATTGTCTGCGAAAATGATCAGGTTATTTCAAACCAGAAAGAGGTTTGTGATATTTTCAATGATTACTTTGTACATGCTGCTGATGGTATTGGAAACACCCTGGATAGCCAAACCTCTATAAACCCACAGTAGCATCTGCACTATTAAAGCTGATGTACAGTGAGGAAGCTGCTACAGTATCAACCAGTTAATGCAGAAAGTGTATCAAACAGTATCAGGAAGCTTGATGGTAAAAAAGTCTGTAGTTGTTGATGGTATTCCTGCTAAGGTTCTTAAGGCAGGTTCTTCTTCCTAAAGCTCTGCATTTGCCACTTTAGTTAATCATTGCCTTGAAACCAAGTCTTTTCCTCATAATTTAAAGTTGGCACAGGTTGTTCCAATTTTTAAAAAGAAGGACCACTTGACAAACAGAATTACAGACCTGTCAGTATTTTACCATCTACTTTAAAAAAAAATGCGAGAATTTTTTCATGATCAATTAAACAACTTTTTTAATCGTATATTTAATCCTTTTCTTGCTGCTTTCAGGAAGGGATATCGATGCCAGTCTACCCTGCTACGTCTCCTTGAGGATTGGCGAAGGGCCATGGATGAGAGCAAGTTTGTAGGTGCTATCCTCATGGATCTCTCCAAGGCCTTCGACTGTATTCCTAACGGGCTGCTGCTCGAGAAGCTGACTGCTTATGGGTTGGACGAGGCCGCAGTCGGTCTCATTAGTAGCTATATATATATCTCGGGGGCAGATTTCAGCGGACTAGCTATATATAGGCTGGGGTCCAATGTCTCTGACTGGGAGCAGTTGGAGAGGGAGTACCTCAGGGATCGAATCCTGACAAATTTCAGGCTATATCCATTGGGAAGAAAACTCACAATATTATATCTTCCTATACTATTAAAGACCATGTTGTAAAATGTGAAGATGTTGTTAAACTTTTGGGTGTAGACATTGATTTTAACTTAAAGTTTGACTTTCATGTGTCAAACGTTTGCAAGAAAGCATCCAAACAGATTTTTAAATCGTTGATTCTTTCAAATTTTAATTATTTCCCCCTGGCATGGCATTTCTGCAGTTTAAATTCCACAAGGAAGATGGAGAAGCTACAAGAAAAAGCCATTCGGTTTATTGAGGATGACTTCACAACGCCAGTTCAGAACTTTTAGAGAAATCAAACTTATCTTCATATAAACAGAATGAAACCCATGGCTTGTGAAGTTTTTAAAATTATTACCAATGTAGCTCCGGATCATTTATGCAATCTTTTAACCTTGAAATCGTCTTTTTATAACCTAAGAAATGAAAGGCAGCAGAAGCTACCAAGAGTAAGAACAACCAGGTATGGACTGAAGTCTTTTCACTACGACGCCGCCCGGGTGTGGAACAGTCTGCCAAACCAGTTGAGGAAGGTGAATAGTTATCCAGAGTTTGCCAGACTGCTGCATTCCCGGGATGGCCCTGTTTGCTCATGTCGTATCTGTACCTGTGTTTAGAGTTTTAATGTGTTTTTAGTGTTTTAGTCTTTATTACTAGTTACCTGCTTTATTTTTTTTATTTACCTACCTATTTAGCTTAACTTCTGCTTTGCATGGCGCTTTTATATACCAATAACTGGCAGCATAGTTTCTAGCCCTCTCCCATCTAATTATCATTATAGCTCAATATGTTTTTACTTACTAGACTCTGTCGTCCTATTTTAATTTACACTATATTAGTGTATATTATGTCAATTTTTACTCTTTTGTTATATTAGCATGTATGTTCATTGCACATGTTGTGCTTTAACCTTCCTATTATATAGCAACACCTGTGTGATATGCAGATGTTCACTATTATCTCATTAGATCATTTTTAGTATAGTACTTTAAATTAGGTGCTTATGATATCTAATCATATGCTGCTATGTTATTGTATGTTTTACTCGCCGATTATGTGCTAGTTTTTCTGTGATAGTGTATAGCTTGTTTGTTGTTTTCTGTTTGCTTTTTATCATGTTTGTCGCAAAAATAGCGCTATAGCGCTAATGTTTCTGTTTGATATATGCGACGTTAAATAACGTTTCTTGTATCTTGTATCTTGAAATTTATTTTGCGTTTTCGAGTGAATCATTTGGATAATTTTTTAAAGTTGTTGGCCCTAGAAAGGGTCGATTTGTGGTACGTATTTCGTCTTAATGCTTCTGTGTGGAGGCGATGATTCTTCGGATTCTGGACATATTCTTCTTCATTCCTGTGTTATCGGTGATCAGTTCACTGGTTTGAAGATGGTCCAGGTCTTGTAGATAGTCAGGCGGGTACTTAATGTCTTTGAACTGTACGAAGTGCTTTCAAATTTCTTTTGGAGAAGTTGGTTTAAACATATCCGTTGACATTCAAATGCTTCTTTTGTCAGACCAGGAACTTTACTGAAGTTTCCCCTTGTGATGATTTCGGCCACCCATACCTCCTTCAGTCCGGCAAACTTTAATATAGAAACTTACTCGACAATTCTTTCAAAAATCCCCCTTGGTGTAGATGTGGGTGAAATGTCATTACACCCGACGTGGAGGAATGCAAATTCTGCACCTGTTGCTATGACACGGCTAACAAATCGCTGGTCCATCCTGTCTGTCCTCAAACCACCCCTGCCAAAGAAAACAGTATTCACGCCAGAAATACATAGGTCTCCGTCACAAAGTCGCCGAAGTCTTACAACTCTTCTCGTGGTTAATTCTACTCCAGATTTAAGACAAACTTTCAGTATCATATCTAACAAAACTTATTTGTAAATTACGAACGTCCAATCTAAATTTCCCAATAGAGACTGGACGCTGGAATGCAACTCCAAAATCCGATAGAATATGTCCTTTATGTCAAACAGGTATAGGTGATGAACCACATTATTTGTTTAAAAATACTTATATATCATCAATAAGAAAAATATATATCCATAATTATTTCACTACAAACCCCAGCAAAAAGGAATGATTTCTATTTGTAATTCAAATGTATTACCTAAAATTAGTCGTTTTCTAGATAAATGCAGTGCTATTATTCTATAGTATTATATATTCACTTTGCTATGTAATTGAAATGGATTAAGATGTTGACCTCTTGTAACACACCTTGTGTGTCATGAGTGTAAAAAAAAATCTTGAAATCTTACAATTAATTAATTAAGGGGTTCTGATAGCTTCAAAGATAAATTTCACAAGCATACATAGCTGTCTACTGTTTTTGACACTGAAAACTGAATATAGTGTGTATAGTGAAAAAAATGGATATAATATTATGATGAAAAGTTTGATATATGAAATGGAAAACAATATCATACCAAATCTCAATTAGTATACATCCAACACGTTACCTGTATGTAGGAAAATACCAAATGTATGTTAGGTGAGACGACGCCCTGCTAGGTACGTATACCGTACACGTATAATGGTAAAAGGGAGGGGGAGGGGATCCAACTCACATCTGTCAGGCTAAACAAGTTAACTAACATTTAAATATGTTTGAGTTAAATGCATAAAATCAATTTTACGAAAATAATACACACTTATGACTCAACAGTACATTTACAATGCTAGTAAATACGTGCCGTTCCAGTTTTACTCAAACTTTAATAAACTTCGCTGATTTTGATCATTTTTCTTGTTAACTGGTTTCATTCATTTCCTACTGGGTTTCATGTAATGGTTTTCTTAATATATCGGCTTCTTATAGCAGTTTTGATATAAAATGATAATCTTCCTTAATATCTCCACTATTGCATATATAAGAATTCGTTAAAATCTTCACTTCAAATTTGATTGTATCTGGACTATCGGTTCCCGAGGTTGGCTGTAACCTTGTAGCTGGACTATCAGTCCCCGAGGGTGGCGGTAACCTTGTAGCTGGACTATCAGTCCCCGGGTTGGCTGTAACCTTGTAGCTGGACTATCAGTCCCCGGGTTGGCTGTAACCTTGTAACTGGACTATCAGTCCCCGAGATTGTCGGTAACCTTGTAGCTGGACTATCGGTCCCCGATGTTGGCTGTAACCTTGTAGCTGGACTATCGGTCCCCGAGCTTGACGGTAACCTTGTAGCTGGACTATCGGTCCCCGATGTTGGCTGTAACCTTGTATCTGGACTATCAGTCCCCGAGGTTGGCGGTAAGCTTGTAGCTGGACTATCGGTCCCCGATGTTGGCTGTAACCTTGTAGCTGGACTATCAGTCCCCGGGTTGGCTGTAACCTTGTAGCTGGACTATCAGTCCCCGGGTTGGCTGTAACCTTGTAACTGGACTATCAGTCCCCGAGGTTGGCGGTAAGCTTGTAGCTGGACTATCGGTCCCCGATGTTGGCTGTAACCTTGTAGCTGGACTATCGGTCCCCGGGGTTTACTGTAACCTTGTAGCTGGACTATCAGTCCCCGAGGTTGGCTGTAACCTTGTAACTGGACTATCAGTCCCCGAGGTTGGCGGTAAGCTTGTAGCTGGACTATCGGTCCCCGATGTTGGCTGTAACCTTGTAGCTGGACTATCGGTTCCCGAGGGTTACTGTAACCTTGTAGCTGGACTATCAGTCCCCGAGGGTGGCGGTAACCTTGTAGCTGGACTATCAGTCCGCGACGGGGGCGGTAACCTTGTAGCTGGACTATCAGTCCCCGATGTTGGCGGTAACCTTGTAGCTGGACTATCCGTCCCCGAGGTTGTCGGTAACCTTGTAGCTGGACTATCGGTCCCCGAGGGTGGCTGTAACCTTGTAGCTGGACTATCGGTTCCCGAGGGTTACTGTAACCTTGTAGCTGGACTATCAGTCCCCGAGATTGTCGGTACCCTTGTAGCTGGACTATCAGTCCCCGGGTTGGCTGTAACCTTGTAGCTGGACTATCGGTCCCCGGGGTTTACTGTAACCTTGTAGCTGGACTATCAGTCCCCGGGTTGGCTGTAACCTTGTAGCTGGACTATCGGTTCCCGAGGGTTACTGTAACCTTGTAGCTGGACTATCAGTCCCCGGGTTGGCTGTAACCTTGTAGCTGGACTATCAGTCCCCGAGGTTGGCGGTAACCTTGTAGCTGGAATATCGGTAATGAACCAAAAAATAGAAATCTTGAAAGGACTATGTATGGTTTGGGCGTGTTTTGGCCCCAAATGAACCAAAATTCAAAACCTTTAAATGAACTTTCAAACGACTGTTTCTTTAATTTTGAATACTTTCTAAATATTACCATAAAAATATTTATTTGTATTTCTGATTATTGTTGTCATGGTAGCAAGTTCAAATTTGTATAAATTAGAAAAAAAATGAATATTCTTTGAGTATTGTCATATTTTGCATAGTTTTTCTCCTGGAAACTATATATATACAGTGCATGCTTGAACAAACTTAATATCAAAGGATAATGTGTTTGCACCTGTAATACATCTTTAGGAGAAATATAAAGTTTGTTCAAGAGTGCACTCTATGGTAGCCAAGAGACAAACTTGGCCGAAAAAGTATTATATCTATACATCTTACTTACATGTACTTACCTCATAATGTGAGTATTTAAGAATCAAAATATACTGAAGGCAACTACAGAAATAGCATAGATAAAACAGCCTACTTCACAGTTTTTTTTTATTACATTAATATTTAACTCACACTTTCAAAATGTTTAAAAATCTCAATTCAAACTGTTCCTAATCTTTTTGATAACTGTATAGAACGCATCGACAAGCAAATAAAACGCAAAGTTACGTTAAGCCTTTGATCTGCAGATATGCAGATCATACAATGCTTTGGGAGAGGGCCTAGCAAGTTCTAAGAACTTGTGCCTAATCCCTTTGACTGTTTAATGTCAATACAATATGTTTGAATAAGTATAACTCTTATATACAAACTGAAGTTACTTCATATGTCCAGTTCAAGTATAGAATGGTTTTAATCCTTTCAGAGAATCGTCATCAATTTCTTCGTTTTGTAATATATTATCTACAACAGAAATGGAGTTCCCCAAGGATCTCTTCTTGACCCGTTCTCGTCTATTATTCATATGAATGATCTATGTTAAAAATTATAAAGTTGACGTACAATGTATATGGCTATGATATACCAAATGTACCATGCATGATAGAGGAGTAAATAAATCTCATACTGAGCTACTGTATAATTAGTCATTTTCACGTGGGATTTATTTTCGCTATCGTTGCAATTACCAAAGATAGCGCGAAATTTAATACCCGGCCAACATTAATAACAAGAACATTTAATGATAAAAGAAAATATCTGTTTACCCTTTCACTGTCGAATAATGGAGATAAAATACTGTGTTTTACCATATTTTAATCAAAGGTTTGTAGAATAGAACCCTTCACCCAAATACAAAGGTTCCCTCTTCAGTGCAATGTTTTTCCAGGCATTGTAACACGAAATTCAAATTCCCGCGAACTAGTTCTGATCGCAACAGCCGCGAAATATTAGCCCCCGCGAAATTAAACGACTGTACAAGTATGGCTTTACGGAAATACGATCAAATCATGTAGAAGACTGAGTATCCTCGGTAGTCAGAGCAAGCCGGCTGTACAAGCCGCATTGTAGATGATACCTTTAGCAATCCCTTTGATTTTCAAAAAAAAATGTTTTGCGTGTACAACGTACATTTGGACGACAACTTAAACTGGTCTTACCAAATCAAAAAATGTCAGCTAGCCTATCAATAAATTAATTAATAAAATAACACAAATTTGTCTAGACCACACATCGATCAATTCCAACACATTTTGAGTGAAATGTCGAGCTTCGTTTGGTAACCTTATAAACAGCGTTTATCCCCGGCTCTTCTATAGTTGCTCAACCGAGCCATTATCTCATATTCTCACTACCCTTCTTGGTGCCATTTAATCAGAGTTACAGTCGTATTTATTGTGTGACACGTTATACCCAAGAAGTGGAATAAATGGAAAGTAAATTTTGGAGAATTCAAAAGATCTTTTGATCAATCTTGAACATCCTCTCCTCAAAAATGTTTCTTCGGTCAAAATTTGTGTTGACTTTTCGACTGTTTACACTACCATCCTCTCATACCAAACTAAATGGACGTCTTCATGCTCTTTTATGAGAACTTTCTTTTGAAGAAAGTATAAAAATGAAATGAACTGAGGACGATATTGTGAGAATGATTGAGTTTATAGTTGACAATATCTTTGTTGAGTTCGGTGGCAAGATTTTCCAGCATTCCTATAGGAACAAACTACATTGTATGCCTCTCTTCTGGTCATTTTGGTTTTTTTTTCGCTATTTCTCAAGAAGCACCAGAGGGATCTTTCTCAAATTTTATGTAGGTTACCCTTGAGCTTGGTCCTTATATTTTAGCTGTGCAGGGCAACTTTTGAGACTGATCAGATAAACAACATGGCCGACAGGCAGCCATCTTGGATTTTGATATTGAAAGTTTGTTATCGCTATTTCTCAAGAAGCACCAGAGGGATCTTTCTCAAATTTTATATAGGTTACCCTTGAGCTTGGTCCTTATATTTTAGCTGTGCAGGGCAACTTTTGAGACTGATCAGATAAACAACATGGCCGACAGGCAGCCATCTTGGATTTTGATAGTGAAAGTTTGTTATCGCTATTTCTCAAGAAGTACCAGAGGGATCTTTCTCAAATTTTATATGTAGGGTCCCCTTAGTCCTTAGCTGTGCAGGGCATCTTTTGAGACTGATGGGATAAACAACATGGCCGACAGGCAGCCATCTTGGATTTTGATATTGAAAGTTTGTTATCGCTATTTCTCAAGAAGTACCAGAGGGATCTTTCTCAAATTTTATATGTAGGTTCCCCTTGGTCCTTAGCTGTGCAGGGCAACTTTTGAGACTGATCGGATAAACAACATGGCCAACAGGTAGCCATCTTGGATTTTGATAGTGTAGGTTTGTTACCGCTATTTCTCCGGAAGAACTAGAGGGATCTTTCTTAAATTTTATAAAGCTTGGTCCTTATTTTTTAGCTGTGCAGGGCAATTTTTGAGACTGATGGGATAAACAACATGGCCGACAGGCAGCCATCTTGGATTTTGATAGTGAAAGTTTGTTATCGCTATTTCTCGGGAAGTACGGGAGGGATCTTTCTCAAATTTTAAATGTAGGTTCCCCTTGATCCCCCGTTGTGCATGTTATATTTTGAGACTGATCATAAAAACAAAATGGATTAAAAGAAGAACTAAACAGATCTTTCTCATATTGCAATGATCGATTCTATTTCTTTCACATTAAGTACTGTACTAGTAAATATGTGAAATGACAAACTCACTTTGAAGGTTGGCTGTCATACACATCAGTATTAAGTTTAGATCAAAAGTTACCTCAAGGTGCATTTACTGTTAACATGACTCGATCAAACAGATTAGAGGAAAGAAGAGAAAAGATCGAATTGACAAATAACTAATGAAGACGGTACAAAGGTGGGCGCCAAGATCCCTCTGAGATCTCTTGTATTTTCATATGAAGCTGAATTTATTGATAAGCTTATCATGACTGGTAACGAAAACTAGCAAGTCATTCAATTTTATATTCAGATATATCAACGATGCGTCGTCTTTAACAAGAAATGTATTGAGCACATCGATATTATGACCTTGAAATCAAGGACACCACAGACTCTTCTACTTCAGCCGCTTCCCTCGATCTTTACTTAACAACATGGCCACAGGGACGGCTAACTAATTAGCTGTATGATAAGCCGGATGATTTCGACTTTCCAATCGTGAGCTTTCCCTTCCTTGATATTAACATCCCCGCTTCCACTACCTACAGTGCTACATGTCACAATGAATTCGGTATTCAAGAGCTTGCTCCAAATATCATGACTTCCTTGGTAATATATGTCGACTGCTGACCGACAAACATCAGTTACCAAAGATTACGGACAAGCTTTATGGTCGACATCAGGATCTCAAACTATTTCTATTTGCGATATGAAAGCTAATATTTTGATTATGCTCATAAGTGAGCTTTGTGGTTTTATTGTTCTCTACGTGAGGACGTGACATTGCTAAGATTTGACCTACATTTACATGACGGATGTAGACACCTATCCTTCTGGAACACCTGATCTTATTATCCTTGTTATTTGTCATTGGTCTCGTGTGTAAATCTTTCCTTTGTTCATATTTTGCCCTGGTTTTATCGATTCTGAGTTTGAATTAACGTTTTGTTGACACCTTGGTATTCTCTTGTTATTCAGTAATATAGGAATTTAAACCTAAAACAGATTTTTAAATGGCAGCCATGAAAATCATATTAGGTTTTGAACTGTTTCAAAATAATAAAATTTGATCAGGACAATGCATTGTTTATTCCAGCTAAGTGTTGGATTAATCAGTAGAATTGGAGTTTAAGTATCAAATGTAAAATGGGCGACGGACAAAGCACAACTGACGAAGAATTAATCAGTAGAATTGGAGTTTAAGTATCAAATGTAAAATGGGCGACGGACAAAGCATAACTGACAAAGAATTAATCAGTAGAATTGAAGTTTAAGTATCAAACAAAAAATGGGCGACGGACAAAGCACAACTGACAAAGACAGATAGCAATAGCTTAAGTGACTGTCATGTGATAAAAGAAAAACACTTAAACGTTTTTTCACAACAAAATAACATTTTTCTTTTATTTCATCAATAACAGGTGATGTCACATGATTATCGCACGTGCACAATAATTTTTTATATATACAGTGTATATGTGCACATTCATCGCACACACACACACACGTCCTATGACAAAATCTTCACAGCTGCTATAAGTAACTTTGAATCTATAAATTACAAGTAGATCTAAACACATTCATACATTTGCATAGAACCTTACGCTCACTCATTCAAACACCCAGTTTAGATATGATCTTCTTTGTCCCAGATACCACAGGACATCCTAGCTCACACACTCAGACCAGGTGTACCGAATACCACCAGACATCCTAGCTCACACACACAGACCAGATGTCCTGGATACCACCAGACATCCTAGCTCACACACACAGACCAGATGTCGGGAATACCACCAGACATCCTAGCTCACACACACAGACCAGACATCCTAGCTCAGACACACAGACCAGATGTCTCGGGTAACACCAGACATCCTAGCTCACACACAGACCAGACATCCTAGCTCACACACACAGACCAGACATCGTAGCTCAGACACACAGACCAGATGTCTCGGGTAACACCAGACATCCTAGCTCACACACAGACCAGACATCCTAGCTCACACACACAGACCAGACATCCTTGCTCACACACACAGACCAGATGTCTCGGATAACACCAAACATCCTAGCTCACACACACAGACCAGATGTCTCGGATAACACCAGACATCCTAGCTCACACACACAGAGCAGACATCCTAGCTCACACACACAGACCATATGTCTCGGATAACACCAACCATCCTAGATCACACACACCGACCAGACATCCTAGCTCACACACACAGAGCAGACATCCTAGCTCACACACACAGACCAAATGTCTCGGATAACACCAGACATCCTAGCTCACAAACACAGACCAGACATCCTAGCTCACACACACAGCCCAGATGTCTCGGATAACACCAGACATCCTAGCTCACACACACAGAGCAGACATCCTAGCTCACACACACAGACCAAACATCCTAGCTCACACACACAGACCAGACGTCTCGGATAACACCAGACATCCTAGCTCACACACACAGCCCAGATGTCCCGAATTCCACCAGACATCCTAGCTCACACACACAGAGCAGACATCCTAGCTCACACACACAGACCAGACGTCTCGGATAACACCAGACATCCTAGCTCACACACACAGACCAGACATCCTAGCTCACACACACACTTTGACTAGATGTGTCTATAATGATAATGGGGTGTATCTACTAAAGTCAATTACTTTCAAACAGCAACTGTTGTCTTCGACTGTCAACATTTCAAATTAACACAAAAATAATAATGATGAAATCAAGGCCTCTTAAAATGAAGTTAAAGAAAACTTTGAAATGCAATGAAAAAATCTATTCTGAGAATACTTTGACGAGTTAATTTTAACATCAGCTTTTAATTTCAAGTCAGATTTGTTATCAAGTGAAGCCAATTGTGTCGGGTTGTGACAGAACCCGAACACCTCCAATATCTGACCATTTCTTTTATATTTCAATTCAGAAACTTAGTCTCAAAACAAATCCGTAAAGAAAATCAAACAACAAAAGAACAGTAATGAGTTGTTTTTTTCCGAGAATTCCTAAAGTGTTTGACGGTGAGGTAGAATAATATGAAAGAAAACATGCTGACAACTAAACGTTCCTGATGCATCACATTAGACAACATTTGTGGAAACTCGAGATAAAAACATATTTTGCACCAAGCTTGCACCAGCAACTTCTGTAGCTCAACAAGAGCACGTAACAGTTGTATTCTTTTGTTCTGTGCAAATAATAATGTATGCATTTTTCTTTGTTAAAGAATAAATTAAAAACATTATCAAAGTCATAAATTAAGGCCCGTTATCCCATACCTAATTTTGTTCAAATAAACTCAAAAATCTCGAATCTACTCACTGTTTTATGTAAACTGACATAGACAGATCATGAAATAAAATAATTCAACTTTGTTTTTACATTGAAGACAGAAGAAACAATTACAATATGATTTTTGGGTGAAATGCTATAAATACTGTCCATACAATTTGACTTTTTTAATTTTGTTTTAAAACTGATGACATAGCCATAAAACAAAAACTAACACATGACAATGGTTAACACATAACTTAGATCCCAAACATGCACGTATACACGGGTAGCACGATCAGGGAGTCCCCGTAAATAAATAACAAAACAAATACAGGCCACAGACTAGATCTGCTTTAGTTTGTCTCCTAAATCTCAATCACCTTCAGGATAAATACCAGAACTGTAAAATACTGATTCAATTCTCCTATTATCATTCTATTTTAACCTGTTCACCCCTAAAGTCACATTCGAACCTTACCGAATCAAAGGCTGGGCAAGTCCAGTTTAAACATGTAGGGGTGAATGAGTTAAATGAGGCCCAAAAAAACTATATTTTTTTGTTTAACTGGTAAACAACATTACCTATTTTCAACATAACTGAAAACACTTGTCAATAAATAGCCTTTTTTAGAGAGAAAATAAAGCTGGTGGCCATCTTTGATTTTTAACACGGATTCATAACCATACCTCTTTTACAGAGGCTGATGAACAACAAACGTAAGCTAGCCTCATCAAAAACTTTTAAAAGGTACGCTGCATCAATAAGTGAAATTATTTAGTTTCAAAACTACTGAAAATCTGTGTTTGAAATAGATTTGGTCTAAGTTTCATTATACAACAAAGGGAGAGAAATCCTTAACACAGTTTTTCCTGAGTTATCAAAACTTAAACCCCAACCGCAAAAAAAAAAAGTTGTAGAATTCTTTAACACAATGGAGAAAAATTAAAATTCAATTAAAATATGATTGAATACATATATGTCTGCTCTTATTCCAGTTCTTTCTTCATGATAGCTACAAATACAATACACAGAAACTAATTCCAATATTTAACTAATACGTCATAGAATGGAATATAAACACACAGTCATACAATACAAGTGTAAAAATCTTATGTACAGATATATTTTTTATCATGTGATCATATATTTCTTTATCTCTATCATAGAAGGTGTATAGTTTATAACAAATCATACAAGAATACATAATACGTAAATACGACGGCCCCACGTGCAGCCTTGTCAGCTGACCTGACGGGTTCATAACAAAAAGCTTCACATCATAGGTATACCACATAGCACTAACAATTTGCCAGGTTATATTTTAATTATAGTCGCAGCCTGAAGAAACCAACTAAATAAAACACCCCCAGATTTGTGGTCTTTGTGATAAAGAGTTAGCTGGCATGACTAGTGACTGGCGTGTGGTGTGGATTGTGAGGATATTGTTGGGACAACCAAATATTGATGGTATTGTTCACTCATTGACCCCTGAACACACATTTGAACCCTTCCAATTCAAAGGTTGAAATAGTTCATTATGAAATTTCAGGGGTGAATGAGTTAATAGAATTTCGTTTAGGATAAGTGACTTTGAAATCCACGTACCATACTGTAAGTGACGGCCATGATTTTAGACCTGCAAGACACTATACAGTACAACAAGATATAAAATATGCCGAGTCAAATCAAAAAAATCAATGTAAGGAACACTTACCTTTATTAACCCAAAAATATCATTAAGTTTTCCACTGAAATTAGACAATGATAGAGTTTTTTGCAGTAAATGGACGAATTAGTGAGAATCGATATTTACGAATTTCAAAATTTGAGACCCTCATTTAAAGGAAAGTAGGAATGTGTCATCCTGAGGCAGTTCCTTCTTATTTTATTCTTGATCAGACATCTCAAATGTTGTCATCTCAAAAATTTTAATTAACATTGCAAATGAAGTTATTTTCATGACGTAAATGTCACTTTGACATAAAAATATTTGTGAGTGTATATTGACGTTAGCAGACATCAAAGTAAACAAAATCGAGTGAACTAATTATCCCTCTTAATCAGGTATACTTCTCTCGGCTGCGGGTCAATTCTCATTACATAATGCTTTTTAAAGTTTGCCTTTATTCAGACATAAAATTATTTATGAAATCTTTGGCTAAATAAACAGACCACTGACCTAAGAAATTCTATAACTGTATAAGCCTCATCACCTCAATAATAATCTCCTCAACTGAAATCGTCAATTAAACATTTGTCCTCGGATTAAAAATAATCTCTACAGGATAAATAAAAAGAAAATTTTACTCAACTCATTCACCCCTGAAATTACATAATGAACTATTCCAACCTTTGAATTGGAAGGGTTCAAATGTGTCTTCAGGGGTGAATGAGTTCATGTGTAATTGCAATAAAGCAACTGACTGCACCCTGGATACTAAACATTAACAAACATAATATTTAGTACATATTATACATGTATATATAGGTATATATGTAATCAATAACATATGTTACAGAACACGGTCATCAACATGTTCTAGTATAAGGATTTAATGCTGACGAAACACAATCTGATTTTGTATCAGTAAAAGGTGTATTAAGTGTTTATATTATTTGGCCATACAGATTGCAACCTTTTATATGAAAAATAAACATATACAACATCTAAAGGACTTAAGCAAGTCTACATGGATCTGAAGGAGCCTTACAAACGTTAGATTTCACAACATTAAAAAATATATAAAATCTTTATACCAAGGTTCTTATAATTAATGCTTCTTCAAAACAGATTCCATTTCAGCTCCACATCAAATTTGGCCTTTTGTTTAGCAGAAATGATTTATGTTAACATATAGAACCGTCGACGACTAATGCTGTTCAGCTTTGTTCTTTGGTACATTGATTCAGTAAAACATCAATAAAATCAAGAGGAATATTTCTCAAAACATTTGAACAAATATTTCTGTTTCTAATAAATAAATGTAATGCTGTGTGAAATATACAAAACTGAAAACCGAGTCAAAAGGGCCTGTATAGTTCACCAGATGTCTGATAAAAGGCAGTTAAAACTGTAACATCCATCATTGTATATCAGTCTGCGGATTGATCTGTTTTTTGTCCCTGTTATTGACAAAAACAATGTATAGATAACCAAAAATGGATTAGAACAGAAATACTCTATGCTATTCCTTTGTGCTAAAACCAAAATGTTGAATGTTATTATTGGTAAGAACATGACCACCTTAAGTGGGCTGATAAACTATGAAATACATGTAATGCTGTCTGGATGAAAACAACCAAATTATTTAAAGAATTTATACATTTGCCATTTCTAGCATCTCTGATAAGAATAAGAACTCAAACATCCCGGTTCATCTTGAATAAGTATATAAAAAAAAATGTTTCCTGAATAAGGTCAGATTACTTATACTCATATCACCGAAAGGGTGATTGTAAAGCTCCCGGAAGGTCATACATAACGTGGACATTCTTATAATGCTTATCTATGAATTTCAAAATATTCTCAAGCGTTAATGCTTAAAAGGTTAAAACTTTAACTGCATTAAAGAAGGGTTTCTAAGAAATACAACTGCTTAACAACACAAAATATAGGGGATCCTTCCACATCATTTCTGTGATTTGTGATAAGAGTTATCTCCCTTCAAACATTTTTGGTTAGACGTATGAAATATTTACCCAAATGTAACCTTTAGTGCAGGAACGTGTCCACGGAAAACTCAACCAAGTTCCCACTGAAATGGGTGTTCAACCATTTAGTGAAACAGTTTGTTTAGAATTTTTAATCAGCTAAAAGAAGCCACCCAGAAAGTATTTTTTTTATCTAATGCTTTTTTTGGGCCTATTGTTATACATTTAAGATGTTTTGCAACATTGTTTAAATTTCATGGTATATGTTTAAACTAAAATGGGTTGCATAACATCCTGATGTTAAACTGGTGCATGTCACTCCTGAACTAACTTAATCCAAATGAAGTAAGGCAGCATACAGCCTTAAATAACAAATGAGGTCATGTATTATCACACGATATATATGCTTAATTAACGTAGCTTTTATTCTGACATGAATAATATCAGCCTTTCACACAATCCTAACTATAATACTATATAAACTAACGCTCATCTGACGTGATCATACTCTACCCTTACCTCAATAGTAAGATCAGCATCCAGCCCAGAGTGTTTGACCACTTAAAAATCTCCTCTAAGGTTCAATTTTTATGATTTTCAAATGATTTGTACAAAATTTATTCACAAATACCAAAAATTCTTCTTAAATTACAGTGGACCTTTGCTCATCTGAACTACGGTAATCTGGAGATCTTTCTCCACTCCAAATCTATAACCTGCGTAAATCTAACAGGAATTGGTTTGTCAATCCCAAACAATTGTGATTGCAGTATTGTAGAATTTTCAACGATAAGGATCACCAAAGCTCCACTGTTATTTTGATTAATTTCCATAGAACTTGTCAAATCATGTCTGATCTTGAACATAACTGCTGTAATGGTATTTTTTAAATATTTCATTTTTTTTGAAAATTCCACATTAGGCTAAATACTGGTCAAGCAACCCTTGTAATTTAAGAATTTCACAAGTGCCTATAACTCTACAAAATTTCACTAATTCCTCTCTAAATCAAGGCTATAGTTACAGAAGCTAATATTGGATGAATTGATGGACGGACATACAGACAGATAAGACTATACCATTATGAACAACATTTTTGCATTTCAAAACAAATTTGTGCCATGGCATGAGTTTACAGGCTCTGCTGGCCCGGTAAACTAAGATTTCATTCCTTCGACAAAAAGACTTAATTGATTGCATGTTTATCTACTGAGTAACTATAGGTAACGACACACTTTATTCCCTATGAAGCTGGAGTTACTCTTCACGGCTGGTAAACCATGTATACAATTTCTATAGCTTGTATACCTTTTGATTTCTTCAAACAAAGTATGTTTAAACCAGCTAGACTACCATTGCAGTGTCTTAGGCTAAACATCCCAATAATCTAAAACCAGACTTTCACAGGAAATTTCTCTTTGAATGTTACGACAATTTCGCACAGACCATGCATCCCAGTGACAAAGTTAACTTTCCAAGCACTAATGGTTCCTAAAAAGCCACTTTTCAACGCCCAAGTTCTATATACGACGAGTATAAATCTTGTCACCCTGATGTTTAGGTGTTGATGAAGTCTGTGTAGGAGTGACTGTTATAAACACACCTTCACAGAATATACCACACCCAGTATACCCTCAAGGCATTTTATGGTCATCCCTAAAATTAAAGTATGATTTTTTTTTTTTTTTAGGCAAAACAATTTAAAGGTACATATTTAACACACTTATAATAAATTAATTCTGTCTGACAAAACACTTGAACTTTGTAGAATACTTGACTTTGTTATTCCTGCCTTGAACATTTCCTGGATTCCAATCTGATGCACTACCTGACAGTCGACAAATGATACTTAGGTATCTTATCATGATAAAATGAAGTCAGAACTGACAACGTCTTGCTCATCATTACAGATATCACATATGTTACAGCTACATCGTCTGATCTGCCTGCGCGTGTTAACTGTAGAAACAGATGTTTTGATACTTTGAGTATAAATCACAGATTCCTTTGTATGGCTAAAAGCCATGGACAGCTCCCACAATGCACTTTGACCTTGTGTGACAGGGTCGAATGAGGTTTACCAGTAACCGATCATATTGCTGTTGCGTGCATCACCACAGTAGCAAATGCACTGTTTGAACAGGCGCCGAACGAACATCCTAGATCAACAGACGTTGAACGACTGCACGCTGACCATCCTAGATCAACAGACATTGAACGACTGCATGCTGACCATCCTGGATCAACAGACGTCGAATGACTGCACGCTGACCATCGTAGATCAACAGACGTTGAACGACTGTACGCTGACCATCCTAGATCAACAGACATTGAACGACTGCACGCTGACCATCCTGGATCAACAGACGTTGAACGAGTACTGCACGCTGACCATCCTGGATCAACAGACGTTGAACGATTGCACGCTGACCATCCTGGATCAACAGATGTAGAACGACCACATAGTGATCATCCTAGATCAACAGACGTCGATGATCCAATAGAAAAAGTCTGTGAGATTCTGATTAGAAATGAGCTATACATAATGAAGCCATGTATATAGTGTATATATAAGAAGTCCGGTGTTTACTACCAGAGAAGGTGTAGATAGAGAGGTGGCTGTCGACTGAAGGCTGGCCACCCCCGGGGTATGAACTGAGGCCAGAAGTAACGGACTCAGGGCCAGGTAGGACTTCATCAACGGACTGTCCGATTGTATTAAATATCCTAATCTCTCGGCCTCCTTTGAGCATGCATGAACCTGAAAATAAAAACAAAACATCATATTTATGTAAATTTTTGAAATTCATACATGGCATATTGAATCCCCTTGCTCAAGGCAGGTTTTGACTACGAACTCATAAGGAAGATAACTCTACATGCCTTGTGATTATACTTGCTGTAAACCTCACATAGATACTTCTTCAGAAACGAGAGATTGAAGATGAAGTGCTACACCGATAATGGAATTAACAGAATCAGTCAACCCGGAAAGAGTAAATTATTATTTGTGTACCTCTGCTGAACAGGATTTGGTTTGGTAAGACTAATAGTGTACATATAAGCCAAGTACCAGGCAATATCATATGATGTTATCTGATTGTAAAACGTGACATCAATTGTTATCATTGTGAACATCACAGAAAAAAGTGCTCACAGCTAGCATTCAACAACTCTAGCACTGCCCAACCACATACTCATTTACAGCTGAGAAGACTGGACCAAGCGGAGTAAAGTATCTTGCTCAAAAATATCACACAGTGCCGTGCCCTGATTCGAACCCGCAACCCTTGCTAAAATGTTCAAAATAATCAAATTCCTGTTTCAGTGGCTTACAAACAAAGTGTTCCAGCCACAGAGGAGCTACTGGGGCAAAATAATCTGGCCTCATCACAGCGTGGAACACCCTTTATCACATAATGTACCGTGTTATCCAGTCAATATACCCATGTCATATCTTTTTGCGTATTAACCTGTGTAATATAACCTATCAGCCCTGTGATTGGTTGTAATTTTCAATTGTTTCAATTGTCACGTCACGCCTGGGACAAGTACATGATGTCACAGACTTAAGCACTGGAGTCAAAATGGCGGCTTTTTACATTTCAATGTTGCGTGATAATTGTCGATTTACACGAATAAATGTTGATTATGTGATAAAAAGAATCTTACACTCGTTTCCATTTCATATAGTATTTATAAAACTCCTCTCAAATTCTTCATTTTAGCTCGCCAGCTAGGCTCGCTAAATTGAAAAATTCTTCTGACTCGTTTCATAAATCTCATATGAAATGGAAACTCATGTAAGATCCTATATGTATTAGATGGCTTTGAAACAGGCTGTATCCCGATAATAAGATTTGACCGGTATGTAATGAAATTAGTGTTCAAGCTCTTACCAGCAGCATACTAGGACGCGCCGAAACTGGAGCAACCAGAATGACAAGGTTGTTTTCCACACTGAGGTAGCCATACAGGTCACACTGAATTACGGACAGTTGGCGCGACAGGATTAACAAGATGTCTGCCACAGTAATCTCGGCACTATTCATGGCAGAGGCCGCCACATTCATCAGCTCCTGGCTGTATAGAATCCGGATCTCTGCAGCTAGAAAAAAAAGACTACAGTTCAACATTCATCGATACCTTAATTTACTCAAATTTAGGTTAGCGCCAATACCATGGTTTCTTCAATGGAGGAATAATCTGGTCCTCTGCCCCTCGTCTGGATACATTAAGTATGCAGGGCGATTGAGTAAAATGGGCTTCATTGTCATAGATTCAATAACAGGTAAAGGAAAAGGTAGTTCTTCATCGTCAGAAACCCATGTTCGATCGTACTACCGTTTATCGATAAATGCTAGTACAATCAAACGTGGGTTTCTGACGATGGTAGTTCTTGAAATTTATTACAAGTGTTGATCGGTTTGGCCCCTACAGAAGTCTTCTTAAAACTAAAGGTAATTTTTACCCCTAAAGTAATAAAACTGTGGACACATATGCCTATATCATGATATAGTTAACCATGACAGGAATAGTGACGCCATCAATAGCTAATTAAAGATAGATAACTCTGTTAAGATAAAATAAATACATATTGTAAACAGAGACATCAATGCAAGTGTTGTCTATCAGTCTTTCATTTTTTTACTTTCTATTCTAACACTCAAATATCGAAAACATTATTAATTTTGTAAAATGCTTCAGCAAGACAATAATATGGGTGTGTTTATGGTAACATCACTGACTTGACAATGCTCTGAACCCTAACTTAGTGTCTCAATAACCAATGCTGGTAAACTTACCACAGACCGGACAGCAGCCTCCGGGCGGAGTGATGGGTTGACAGTGTTTCGGCCCCACAGCACGACACGCCACATTCTCACAGTTATTAGACTGGGTCAAGTTACCTACAACAGTCCAGGAGTGTATCAGTTAATAATGTGTGGCAGACTTTAATTGTACATAGAATGACGGTCACCTTGAAGCTTAGCGCTTGAGGGAATATCCCTTTAGCTCAATGGTAGAGTGTCCGACTAGAAAGTCTGGGATCGCGGGTTTGATCCCCGGCGGAAGGTCACTACTCTCTTTCCTGTTACAAATGTAATGTAGGTAAACAATGGACAACCTCAGAGTCCGGACCTAGTTACACTACAGTGTGAGTATTCCGCGACCCTAACAACATCAATGCTTAAATACAGTGTAAATATCCCTGACCCTAAATATTACGCAGTTAAACTACAATGTAATTATCTCCCAACATGACTCAGACATCTTGGTTAATCAGAATAAGCCATTTGATGGTTTGAACAAATATGATCAATGTGACCTTGGAAGTGGATCAAGGTCATTCATTCCAGCATAATACTTGTAGAATATCATCACCCAAGGCCTCTTGGTTATTCAGAAGTTATTAAAATGTTTAAACACATTTAACCCCCCACAACTTTAGAAGTAGGTCAAGGTCATTAATTCTATCAAAATTGATAGCCATTTATCTGAGTATGCTACTGATCAAATATCATCACCTAAGGCCCTTTTTGTTGATTAGAAGGAGTCGTTTATTTATTTTTACGAAATTTGGTTCTTGTGACCTTAAAAGTGGATAAAAATCATTCATTTGAACAAACTTGATAGCCCTTACTTCAATCCAGCATGCTACTGGTTAAACATCATCACCCTTCAGGTCAGGTGAGCTTAAATCTACAAACATCCCGTGACACAGGTTAATCCTATGGTGGTTTATGTTTGACTAATGGTTACTGATCTGCTTACCTGAGTACATGCCGACAGCCCTACACTGTCCCCAGTAGTCGACAGTGGTGCGGTCAGCCAGCGCAGCACACTCACTGTTATACGACTCTCCATTGTGCCCACAAACCACACCATTGTCAGAACAGTATTTCTGTAACCAGAAATCCAGACACATTAGAATCAGCAACTCTACTTAGTGTTCGTAACGTGTACCACCTATCTGACATTATTTAAGGAATAAATTTTACCCATGTGGTATGAACTACCGTATCACAATTGCGACCCAAAATTAAGAATACACGAATTACAAGTTTTGCGATATGCCTAATGGACATGTGAAGGAATAAAACTTTCGCACCAGTGTAATTTGTTGAATAAAACATCAACAAAGCTATTAGAAGTGCGATCTAACCTTTTTGAAACATCATTACTCTTCATGTATATGAATCTTCACAACTACATGTGCGCTATTTCATAAAGACGCTACGGTTATAAAGTTTGGAATCACAGCTTATTTTTGTCATACTATTCTGCGGGCCCTATTTTCGCAATCTCATTATTGACCCGCGACATCGCAGATATATATCATCCCAGCAGAAATAACCTGTTACAGGATAAGTAATTGTGATACACTCCAGGATCGGTACCTGACAGTGCCCTCTATAGGCAAGCCGTTTCTTCTTGGCAAGTAGGAGACAAATGTTTGTGTATTCATCGTTGTCCGTGTCACACACAGGTTCGTGGTCATGGCGCTCACACTGGTCGATGCCCATCACTGCCACTACAACGCAAGGAAAGCAGGAGTTATCTCCCCATTCAACAAGGGCTGAGCTTTGACATGAAACCTTTCGGTTTATCTGGATCATTTTCTTCATTTCAATTTAACATGCTACATTTTCAGACTGTGAATTCTGGCTTGTTTCTGTCTTGGTTAACAATGGTCGTTTTAAAAGCTTAATAGCCAGAAAACAACAGACAAATGGATCAATATCAATTTTATAAACAAAACAATTCTAGTACAACAGGTTAATTGGGTTGAAATACGATAATTACAAACACTGCCTTGTTTTTATATGATATCGTTTACATAATATGCTTTGGTCATACCTATCATTTCTTAATTAAAAGGTGATTAATCTCAATTAGCTTTATTATATTAACTAGAATGATATTTTGAAGAACAATTTGTACCATCTGAAAACACCTGATATTATGTCGGCGAAAGTGTACCTACCACACTCATATTGGTTACAGCTGCTGTCCACAGTTCCACGACTCAAACATACGCTACGCTTCGGCATACACCTGTCACAGAAACATAGCTTTATATATTAGTATTAACTAACACCTGTCCCAGAAACATAGCTTTATATATTAGTATTAACTAACCCCTGTCACAGAAACATAGCTTTGTCTATCAGGATTAACTAACACCTGTCACAGAAACATAGCTTTAAATATCAGTATTAACTAACACCTGTCACAGAAACATAGCTTTATATAGGAGTATTAACTAACACCTGTCACAGAAACATACCTTTATATATTAGTATTAACTAACACCTGTCATAGAAACATACCTTTATATATTAGTATTAACTAACACCTGTCCCAGAAACATAGCTTTATATATTAGTATTAACTATCACCTGTCACAGAAACATAGCTTTATATATTAGTATTAACTACCACCTGTCACAGAAACATAGCTTTATATAATAGTATTAACTAACACCTGTCACAGAAACATAGCTTTGTATATTAGTATTAACTAACACCTGTCACAGAAACATAGCTTTATATAGGAGTATTAACTAACACCTGTCACAGAAACATACCTTTATATATTAGTATTAACTAACACCTGTCACAGAAACATAGCTTTGTATATTAGACCTACCACACTCATATTGGTTACAGCTGCTGTCCACAGTTCCCCGACTCAACCATACGCTACGCTTCGGCATACACCTGTCACAGAAACATAGCTTTATATATTAGTATTAACTATCACCTGTCACAGAAACATAGCTTTATATATTAGTATTAACTATCACCTGTCACAGAAACATAGCTTTATATATTAGCATTGACTAACACCTGTCACAGAAACATAGCTTTGTATATTAGACCTACCACACTCATATTGGTTACAGCTGCTGTCCACAGTTCCACGACTCAAACATACGCTACGCTTCGGCATACACCTGTCACAGAAACATAGCTTTATATATTAGTATTAACTATCACCTGTCACAGAAACATAGCTTTATATATTAGTATTAACTAAAACCTGTCACAGAAACATAGCTTTGTCTATCATTATTAACTAACACCTGTCACAGAAACATAGCTTTGCCTATCAGTATTAACTAACACCTGTCACAGAAACATACCTTTATATATTAGTATTAACTAACACCTGTCCCAGAAACATAGCTTTATATATTAGTATTAACTACCACCTGTCACAGAAACATAGCTTTATATAATAGTATTAACTAACACCTGTCACAGAAACATAGCTTTGTATATTAGACCTACCACACTCATATTGGTTACAGCTGCTGTCCACAGTTCCCCGACTCAACCATACGCTACGCTTCGGCATACACCTGTCACAGAAACATAGCTTTATATATCAGTATCAACTAACACCTGTCACAGAAACATAGCTTTATATATCAGTATCAACTAACACCTGTCACAGAAACATAGCTTTATATATTAGTATTAACTACCACCTGTCACAGAAACATAGCTTTATATAATAGTATTAACTAACACCTGTCACAGAAACATAGCTTTAAATATCAGTATTAACTAACACCTGTCACAGAAACATAGCTTTGTATATTAGTACATTATTTCATTTTTTTAATTATAAGCAAGTACACCATCAGCTAGCTATATATTCTAAGGATATCCAACTAGTAATTTAATATATAAGTTATGTAGGGCTATACAGATTGACTGAATACCATTCAGTTCTAATACTATTCTTTATACATATCACCTTTGCTAAAGCACTCTAGATCCATAGTTAATATATCTTGTCACTGGATGTTCTCACTATAAAACAATGTGTAAAATAATTGTCCATCAAAATCAACGGCCACAAAAATGCAAAATTATTTCATTATTATAAATAAAACTACTACTGTAAAATCAGATATTTTTGTGGGGCTCAAATTTCGTGGTTTCCTGACAAAACGCCATTTCGTGGGTATACATGAGTTTGTTGATTATGAGTATATCCACTCATATGGATAAATGCTTGTTGTCAAATTTGTAGTTATTTCATGGACCTATGAATTCTTGGATAAAAGGCACCCATGAAATTGATGAAATTAAAAATCCCTTGAAAATTAGTGTTTTCACAGTATTCAATATCTAAGGCTCCTACAATACAAAGACTGACTATCTATAGAGTCTAACCTTATATTTGGTCAGTAATGATAACATGATACAGGAAAGTTTCTGTCAAGTAGCATCTTAAGATGAATGTAACCAAGAATTGATTCAATGCCGTTTACACCCACCATCGCCCTTTGTACTTAGTTTGTATAATAATACTGTATAATAGAAATGTTCGTGGATACTTTCCTTCGTGGTTTGAAGCTTGTCGAAGAAATAGCTCTACCCAGCTAATGTTTTTATTTTTATGGTATACGACGTTAAATAAATATTCTTGTATCTTGTAAATAAGTATTCTTGTATCTTGTAAATAAGTATTCTTGTATCTTGAAGCTATTTAGATCGTTTCGTGGTACAAACTTTTGTGGATATCCTATATTTACAAATAGAAGACACGTATATCATTCAAATTCGTTGTATTTATATTCGTGGTTCAATAGCAACCACAAAAAACCACGAATGTTATACAGTACCTCCATATAATGTCTTGTTTTCATTTACAATCTAGCCTACGTCTGCCAAAAAATCCACTTTTCCTATTCACTACATTGAATTCCTTCCCATATATTGCCAACCTCTTTATAATGCCAATATTATTACATTTGGTGGCATTGTACATATAATTTTACAATGACTGAATATTCATATCACCTAAACTCATTAACCCCTGAAGACACATTTGAACTCTTCCAATTCAATGGTTGGAATGGTTCATTACGAAATTTCAGGGGTGAATGAGTTAACACAACACTCTGATTCAATCAAAAACATGTCTGGTTCTTTCCATTTCAGTATGACTAGAGGAATAAAGCTTGAAACATAAATGTTAGGATCGAAACTCTATTCCAAGATAGTTGAAGATATTTGGATACTAATTGTTTCTGTGATTTTACCTGTATTCATCGCCACAAGGATTGTCAGCACAGGGATCAATGCTAGAACACGTCCCCGCAATTAGTTCGTGACTTCGTATTTTTGCACACCTTGAAAACAAAGTTTGTCAAACATTATATAGGCAACCAAAATTACAAATTGTATTCAAGTAAACAGGGAGCAAAAACAAAGAATTTTTTGTGAGTTATTATTTCTAACAGATGGTGTTAATTGTGCATAAAAAACCCAGACATGCCTTGAAATTGGTAAAATTTAAGGTAAGGAAAAAAATTAGTAAGATGTTTCATGAAACGAAAGTTCAATGTTCACAATTTAAACTATTTAACCAGAAGAAGTCTGATTTTAAAATTAACAGTTTTTCTGTGACATAACACGACTTAAAAATGTGAACATACCAAGATATACAGACTTTTTCATGATATTCAAGTCTTACTTTTGAGCCATACAGCTATTTGGATAAGTCTTCCCATTCGTTCCACATTGTGCCACAAAGTTGGGGGAACAGTCACATGGCAGCCTGGTCAATCCTTCAGAGCCTGGTTCTGTAGGACAGCGATGCTGAGTACAGAGGCGCCTCCCAGACTGACAGATGCAGCGATTACAGTCATCGTGGAAGTGTTCACCATGTTCTGAAACAAGAACCCGACAAAAAAAGGGTCAGAATGGAAAAAAATAATACCTGGATGCACAACTTCAGGTGGTAGTTATCATATCTGGAAAGTTTCATTGAACTTGGTCCATTACTTTAGAAGGAGTTGTCCGGACAAACTTTTTCTAGTGACAGACAGACAGTCTTGCTGATTCCAATATACCCCCCCGCCCCCCCCATAAACTTTGTTGCGGGAGGTACAATAAATGTTACCATCAGGACAAAAGGGGTTGGCACGAACTTCAGTAGAACTAGGCCAACTTACTTTTGGGTCCTTTACTGGAGCTGCAAGGATCGCGGTTGACACAAGGAAGACGTTTACAGTTGTCAAGGTTGTTATGGTGTCTGCACTGACACACACGATAGTGCATGCATTGTCCGTTGCTATGCCGATCCTTCTCTGCATCCGGGATCCGAACATAGGTATTCTTCGGAACATACATATTGGTCACAGCTCCCATTCCGCAGGCTGAAACGAAGGGAATTAGGATTAATCAACAATATCACACTGATCAATTTCGTTCTTTTTTAATTCTTTGTCAAAATTACACGGGAAACAAATCTTGGGATGCTGACATTGTGACAAATATGTGGGAAGATAGAGCTCAGGCAGGGGTGGGCCTACATTTATGCCAGATGATCCAGTAAACCACTAAATTTATATATTTGGATTTTGACTTACCTCTATAATATACTTTGGGGAAACTGACCTATGGGTGCCTACATTTACAACGGTTGATCCTGTAGACCACTATATCTAAACATTTGCTTGATGACCTACCATTGCAACAGACACACTGTGGACAAACTTCAGGGTGCCTACATTTATGGCGGTTGATCCCGCTTGCCACTTTTTTGAAACATTTGCATATTAACTTACCATTGTGACAGACATAGGGGAGACAAACTTCGGGGTGCCGACATTTACGGCGGTTGATCCAGCACACTTGGTTATCGTCACAAGGATTTGGGTTACATGGACTTGTGATCACGTGTCCGTAGTGCTTGTGAGGACTCTCAGCTGTACATCAACATAAAACACAAATTAACAACACAGAAAAAAAGCTGTGTAAAAAACACTAAAAGAGACAATTGTAAAATTTTTAATCAAGTAACATTTCAAAGCTAATTGTTTTTCCAAATCAGTCTAAATGAACTTATTGTACAACTCCGGACCACAGGGAACTTCATATGAAATGTGAGAAAGATCTGAAAGCTTCTTCAGAAATATCAATACCAAGAAATGCTTAAGGACAGACGACAGATCACAAGCAAAGGGTGACCTGATCAGCCCACCATCTGATCATGATGAGGGTGGGCAAATAAGTTCAAGCAAGACGGACGTACTAGGGACGTCACACCATGGCATCAGGTCACATGGCTCCTCCGGTAACGTTTAGAAGCTGTATGTATAGGAGTGTGAGGAGAGTTATCAGGGTTATTATACAAGTACATTTAACAGGGGTATAAGCACTGTGTTTGAAATCCTCGGTAGGCATACAGCATTTTGGCCAAAACTATATGACAGGATACAGACACTGTGTTCAGAGTCCCCTGGAGGCAGATATTTCTTTGACAGATATGTACACTATTTGGTGGAGATACTAGCCCTATGTTTGGAGTCCCTGGCAGTCAGTGAGTACTTTAAGAGATAATATTTGATAGATATATAGGCAACGGAGAGTCTATAGCTTAGTATAAGGGAAATGGTGTTATGAGAATACTTACACAGCTATATTTTTAAGGAGATACAGGCACCGGGGAGCCTGGGGTAAATTATGTTATGAGAATACTTACACAGGTATTTTTTGACAGAGATACAGTCTCCGTTTTTGGAGTCCCCTGGAGAGAGTGTGTTACAGAGGAGCTGAAGGGTGTGGCCGGGCTTCATGCGACTGTGGTCTACACACTGGTTCAGTATATGGAAACAGTCCTCCCTGGAAAAGTAAAGATGTCAGTCAAATCTTATCTCTCCAAATCAAAATAATGTATACTGGAAATTCTCTAGTTTAACATTTTAGGTTTACATCAGCATACAGCATATACCTTACTTCAGCAATGACTGTTTTAGCAAGTGTTGTTATGGTCCTATAACACACATTGCTATTGTTGACAAAATTATTAAAGCCCAGTAGGGCATTATGTAAGTTTGTCAGCAATAGAAATTTGTGTTATAGGACCATAACAATATTTGCTAAAATATTCATGACTTATATTCACATTTTGATAGTAGTTAAATGCTTTATTTAGTAATTTTGAACAGTTTTTAACAGCAAATCAAGTGTTGACACAATGAAATTGATGACGTCACAAAAGAGATTGATGACGTTACAATAGAAAATGTTGCTATAGTCTCATAACAACATTTGCCTTCTCATTGCATTGCAATAGAAGGATGCAGATCAAATGTAAATATAACAAGAGGCCCAGAGGGCCTGTATTGCTCACCTGAATATGTTTACAATAATTGGTATGAAGTAAAGATATAGCACTCCATGGTAGGTGCTGTAAGTACATATGAAATTTCAGAAAGATCCATCCAGTACTTGAGATAGAGCGAGAACAAACTTCAAACAGAGTCCCATCCCTCTGCCCCTAGGGGGGTCATACCCACCAATTATACAAAATTGAGTCCCCTTGACCCAAGGATGCTCCAGACTAAATAAGGATAAAATCCCTTAATTTTATGATGGTCAAAGAAGGATTTTAAAGGTTTTACCTCTATTTCTCCTATTGTGCCCCGCCCTTCTGCCCCCTGGGACACCACACCCACTGCTTATACAAAATTGAGTCAACTTGGCCCAAGGATGCTCCAGACTAAATCAGGATAAAATCCCTTAATCCCGATGGTCGGAGAAGGATTTTAAAGACTTCTGGATTACAATAGATGGCTTCTATATCAAACCCAACAATATCTCCCCGATCAGAATCACGTTCATAGGAGAATTCACATAAAATGTCAGCCTGTTCTGCTCCGTTCTTAGACCATTCCAAAGTATTTGCGAAATTTTTTCTAATTGACACATTTAGATGATTTCCGTCAATATCATTATCAGCCAATGTAAATAGGGTATTGCAGTTGAAATTAATTGAAGGATAGGTGTGATGCCATTTAATGTTGAAATAGAATAAGATGGGTGTTTCCTGTTGAGAACATTGAACTTTGACTCATTCACCCCTGATATTTATAATGAACTATTCCAACCATTGATAACCCCTTTCCCCTCCTCACTTTCATCGTAGGAAATGAAACACTGAACTTAATCTATTATTATGTACAATTTTCTGGTGAGTTGTGAAAAATCGTGAATGCTTATATATAATATTAAGACAGTATCAGTGCCAGCAATTTCAAAACTTTTATCCTAATACATACAATCATATTAATATGGTGGAACTATATATAAGATCGTAAAAAATTTCAGAGAGAGATATTACCTGCATAGAGGTAGTGGGGTGGCTCTCCTATTACACGGCTTGATCTGCAGGGCACACACCAGAGCCTTCCACGTTTCTGGTTCACACTCCCGTATATCTGAAACAGACAAAAACTGTCATTATATCTTGAAAATCTGGCTAAATAGCATGACCTTAGGTATGTTGGTTATTCAGAGGAAGTTGGTTATTCAGAGGAAGTTTTCTAAATGCACATCTAGTCCCTGTGTGTGACATTTAAAATGGGTCAAAGTTATTTGGTTGAGCAATCCTGATAGCACTTCATCCCAGTATACCACTGGCCAGATGTATATAGTTACATCTTTCACCTAAAATATTGAAGAAATGAAAAAAATAAAAAATAAATTTAAAAAAATGGGAATTTGGAATTACTAAAGAATAAAGATAAAACAAATCAAACTGATTTTTTTTATGATAAAATTTGTAGCACTTTTTGATTTCTCCAAAAAATAGGGAAGTTGTAGATGTATCAGAAATGCCGGTGTTAAATGTCACATTTTAGTGTATACCATCTGTACCAACACCTGATTAATCAGCTGGATCTGAGATCCTAGTTTGATACGGGTGGTGAAGCTGTCAGCCTCAGCAGCCATTTGTTCTCACCTTTGACTGGGATGGACATCTGAGGTAGTCTAATGGTGCCGTTCTGCCAGCTGGTTAGGCTCTCCCGGGCTGCTATGTCCGTCTGCGTGTTACAACTCCGAAATAGCTCCGTAGGTCTGTTGTTAAAATTGGAGCAGAAGTTGAGGCCGTCACATCCTAGTTGGCACGGCTCCTCCACTGTACAACAGAACCAACTTGTATTAACATTCTACAAGGACATCATTCATGGTTCTTTCATCGTTCAAATTTAAAACCCAAATATAAGGTTTTATAGGAGCTTAAATAGGTAAATAAATTCAGGATACATTTTTTTTGACAATTTTTTCATTAACTTGCAACTATAAATATGATCTTGCTGAAGCGAACAGAGTAATCTGCATTTTGACAGTGATAGAAAATCCTCTGTAGCCTTAGTTAGAGTCCAAACAGCTGGCCTGTATCATACAACGAAAAGTATGTGGCTTCAGCGTTAAACTTTAACTAGCCAAATATTATCACCAAACCTAGACTTTGACTTTCTGGTTAGTCAGAAGAAATTGTTTAAAAGATTTTAAAGAAGTTGTTTGAAAGATTTTAACATACTGTGACCTCGAAAATGGTCAGTCATTCATTTGAAGAAACTTGGTACCACATGCGTAATTTGTTTATCCCAGCATGCTACTGGCCAAGTATGATCAATAGCATCTAACTGAGGGAGACTCTTTATAATGGAAAAAAAAACAAACTTTCTAACAACTGAGAAATATCGGAGGAAGTCAGCTAGAACCCATCTTAACAAAAAGTGAACATTTTGCAGTACTTGACCCCCGAAGATGACCCTAAAACGTGAGCCCACTGACCTTCGGCCATACAGGAAAGCATGGGCCCTTCCATAATCACGTCGAGTACTGGAGCAGCAAGACTCTGACACTTAGTGTTAAAATCATCCCACGTGTTAGCCCAGTCTGTACTGAAGGTCTGAAACAAAGATTACTTAATAAGTCGGCGACAACCTTGGCGAAAGTAATTGTGTATATCTAGTGCTATTCAACTGTTTTTTGACATGATAATTATTTTGTTCATTTCTTACTTTTCAGACAATGAAATTGTTTTTCAGGTACAGCCTTTATATGTTTTAAGATTCAGGACTTTATAATTTCAACAAAATATATAATTGGGAATCAGAAAGGGGCTCTTACTTGATTAGCGCTGTGGATGGTGAGGGATTATAAACATCAAAAGGATTTCAATACAGCAAAAATTGAATATGAAGACATGCGACAAAAATAAATTGTTCGTAACAAATTCCTTAAATGTCGCATAAAAACATACATTCTCTTAGTGTTGCCACTAGGTAAGAACTATCGAACACCTTATTCTATGATTCTGTTAAGAGGTCACATGACTTTCGCGAGTCAAACCTGCTCTACCAGTAACATTCTACATTTTCAAACACTCCTAAACTTGTGGCTGACTGGACAGGAAAATTGTGACAGCCAAGCAGGGATTTGAACCTGGAACCTCCTATGTACAAACTTTTTACTAACTGATTATTATCTGGTCATCAGAAGATTCATTAAAATGTTCTTGCCTTTTATTACTACAACACTATATGGGTATGACAACCTTTTCTCCCAGCCTTCACAGGTGTGTCTCCCTTTTAAGCCGAAAAAGATCAGCTTGTCACCCCCTAGGGGAAGATAACCTTGTGCAGAGAATGGCGCAATCTCAGTCATGACAATAGTATGACGTCACGTCATCAATACATTGACGTCACATCAACAGTAGCAGCCCATGGAAGACAACTCTAGATTTACTGGAAAAACCTGCAATCAACACTTATATATTTCATGCAATCACCGCTTTTCAGTAGATTTGTGAGTGAAGCAGGGTGGGAGAAAAACAGTCATCCCCTACCTTAAGGGTGTGAGAGAAATCTTCAACCCAAGGGATGATATTCTCAAATTTCTTACCCGAGGCAAGAGCTTGAATGTCTTAACCGAGGCTCTTGCCTCGGGTAAGACATTTGAGAATATCATCCCTGAGGTTGGAGATTTCTCTGTCGAGCCTCGGGTAAGACATTTGAGAATATCATCCCTCGGGCTGGAGATTTCTCTGTCGAGCCTCGGGTAAGACATTTGAGAATATCATCCCTCGGGCTGAAAAATTTCTCTGTCGAGCCTCGTGTAAGACATTTGAGAATATCATCCCTCGGGCTGGAGATTTCTGTTACACCCTGAAGGTAGGGGAAGATTCTATTAGTCAACCTAACACACTACTCTAAATACATAACTGGTGACTGGCATATGACCTATTCAAGGACTGCCAGTTTTACAAACATGGTACTTACCCTTGAACAAAGATTTCGACAGGCGAGGGTGTTAGCTTTAGAGCAGCACTGTAGCCTGGCGCCATCTATGATGTTTCTTTCCATATCTACATCGCCTTCAATGTTGGTGTTCAGCAAGAAACATGCCCATAGCGGGTCCTAAACAGATATTTTGATATTTATAAATAACCATTGATAAATAATTTCCATGTTTTACATAAACTTTTTTCTTGTTGGATTCATACTGATCTTTCGTTTTGTTGCCATCTTGGTTTCTGTGTGTTTTATTTAATTTTTGCGTTTTCCTTTTTAGTTCTGATTTTATCCATTTGTGTTGAACCTGTGTTACACCTTTTCCCTATTATAGAGAATACTATGATAATTATATAAAATATAGGTTCATATTTAACTTGTTAACCCCTGAAGACACATTTTAACCCTCCCAATTCAAAGGTTGGAATAGTTCATTATGAAATTTCAGGGGTGAATGAGTTAAGATAGCATGAAATCTGCTCTACTAAATTAAAGCAGAATTTTGTGAAATCAATGATTTTCTAATCGACTCCAAAACTTACACTGTGTATTTTAGGAACGCCACAACTTTTAACCAGCTGTTCCATGAACACGTTCTCTGGGTATCGTAACTGTATCCCCTTGATACATGTGTTCCTGCACTCCGAATCTGCCGGCGCTTCATAGCAACATGGTAGACCTATAAACATATTAATTTAGAGGATTACAATTTTAAAAGTTGAAATAAAACATTGATAGTTTTGGAAACAGTTCAGTACCTTCCTTTTTGCAGTTTCACAAATAATATTCTGGTATATTCAAAATTGAATAGACCGTATTGGTTTTGGATGACCAGCTTTATGGCCCCTCTGGCAGAAATTTAAAAATTCTTGAAGACCATTTGGCAGCCATCTTTTTCCATCAATCAGTCTCTAAATGAAATAGCAAAGAGGAACCTATATATGAAATTTGGGAAACGTCTGTCAAGTTCTTGTTGAGAAATGGTAATAACAAGAACTGTTTAAGGACGGATGACAGATGAAAAAAAGGCTAGTTGAACAGCACACCATCTGATAATAGTAACCCACTATATGAACATAACCAGCAGAAATGCATTTCATTCGAGTATGAAAGCAAAAACTCTCATGACGTAACACATGGTTTACTTATGACGTCATAGATCAACCTTGTTCAGTGAGTCTTATCGCTTCGCTTCGGATAACATGGAGAATGCCCCTGCGTCAAAGGCTCAAATGACTACGGTTAATTATTGGTTCCAATTTTATTTAAATAGGGCTGTTCCTCCAATGTCGTTTAAAGGACCTTGCATATACAAAACACAGTAAATTGATAAATTATTTAAGAACAAATAAATAAAATGAAACAATTGTTCTATAGTAAAATGTAAAAAAAATATATATGGATTGAACAGAATTTTTAAAATTTGATTTAAATTGGATGTAACCAGTTTGCGTTTATACTGGCATGAAAATTAAGACAAGAGGCCCATGGGCCTAAACGGTCACCAGAGTCGTACAGTATTTATTTTTGTTGTTGTATGTACCAATTTGAGTACAAAATAGTAAAGTATAATGTTAACTTAAGTTTGTCAGGACCATGAGCTGATCATTTCTAGACCGATTTCAGTTAAATCGGCCTATTAGAACTCGTTTTTAAGTTTGAAATAGTTTTTTCAAAATGGCGGCCGTGTTGGCCATATTGGATTTCTGATCGACCCGAAAAATAACAACACTTTGTCAGGACCATGAGTCGATCATTCTTACAAAGTTTCAGTTCAATCGGCCCAGTAGAACTTGACTTTAAGTTTGAAATAGTTTTTCAAAATGGCGGCCGTGGCGGCCATATCGGATTTCTGACTTACCCGAAAAATAACAACACTTTGTCAGGACCATGATTCGATCATTCTTACAAAGTTTCAGTTCAATCGGCCCAGTAGAACTTGACTTTAAGTTTGAAATAGTTTTTCAAAATGGCGGCCGTGGCGGCCATATCGGATTTCTGATTTACCCGAAAAATAACAACAGTTTGTCAGGACCATGATTCGATCATTCCTACAAAGTTTCAGTTCAATTGGCCCAGTAGAACTTGACTTTAACCCTTATCCCGCCAAGTGCAGTATATGTCGTTTTTATAAACCCGTTTCCCACTGCCAAGCGCGGCATATGTCGTTCCGCAAAACATGCCTTCCACTGCCGATCGTGGCATATGTCGATTCCGGGATTGCCGTTTTAAGTACGGAACTGCGGTGAGAAAATCACTGCTAGCTTTACTTAGAAATGATGACGTATTTGTTTATACCTTAATTTCATTGGCTGCCGACGTGATACCCACAGTTTATTTATAAACTAAGCCACCATGACCGCGAGAGCATAGATTCAAGGTTTTGTTGACAGCGCGGAAAAATGGCGGACGACAAACTGACACAAGATGAATCGAACGACTGTAGATTATCAGCGATATATTTGACAATGACTTTTAGGGATTCGGAACTGAAGATTTACTACGTGACGCAGAAATCGTACAAGATATTGACTTTGATCAATAATATAAAGGCGTGGACATTCCTGAAGACGACAACAACACAGCGTACCTCCATAAATGCCCCATTCACGGGACGGCCCGATTTGAACAAAGATATTCCAGGTGACGGCGACCCTATTCATTTTTCTCTCTCTTCTTTTTGACGTCAATATACGGACGACTCTTACGACAGAATACTAAGTACTTTTGATTATGAAACTTGGAATTGTTTTTCAGGTGATGGTAATAAATAAACTGTTTATTAGATGTAAATCATCTTTTTTACATACAAAATACACACAAAATTCAGCTTTTCTAACCTGTAGTTCGGGAAAGGTAAGTGGTATATCCAAAATTACTTTTGATGTGAAAAGAAGAAGTCTTCCTGAACAAAACACTTTATATATATTTTCTTGGATTCTATACAGATAAAAAGTTATTGTTGGTTTAATCAGATAATTAATTTTGATTAATATAGCTGTTGTTTATTTGGCAGTGGGAGGTATACCACAAATTGTATACACAGCAGTGGTGTGTATATACACACATGAGTGAATGGCGGGATAAGGGTTAAGTTTGAAATAGTTTTTCAAAATGGCGACCGTGGCCGCCATATTGGATTTCTGATCAACCTGAAAAATAACAACACTTGGTCAGGGAGATGTCAGTAACTTTCCCATGAAATATTACTGAAATCCCTTTGCCAGTATTTCAGCTTAAGTTGAAAATGTAAAATGTTAACGGATAATGACGGACGAAAACGGATAGCAATAGGTCACTTGAGTTAAAGCTCAGGTGACCTAAAAACGCAGTTCAATCCCTATAAAGAAGTTATTTACAGCTATATATTGTCAAATTGCCCCTTTTTGGACCTGTCCCTCAGCCTTTCAAGGGGTCAGCCCCTCCTCTTGTACTATTTCAAATCCTCAATACCTAATAATGCTGCAAGTCAAATTTGTTTGAAATTCCAATCAGCGATTCAGAAGAAATCTTTTGAAGAAATTGTTGAGATAAGGAAAACGGATGTAACGGTACAAGATAAGCTCACCTTGATCCTGCGGACCAGGGGAGCTAATAAGGTCATGTCTGTTGCTATACAAGCAGCAATGCACGAAGATCACAGCATGACAATTCCATGCTATGATCTTTGTACATTGCTGCTTACATAAGGACAGTTGACCTCTGACAATATATTATCACTTTGAATTAAGAAATAAAAGCTAAACACCTTTATTTCTATTCATAATTAAAAAATACTTAAAATTTTATATTTCAATTTGAAATTTAAAACATAAGAAGTCAACAAATTTTTCATTATTTCTTTCAAATTGCACATTTTGCAGATGGTCTATTGGTGGGTGGGAGGTTTACAAGGGATTGTTTGTACTCCAGTACAGTGCCAGCCCTGTGCTAGTAACTCATTAAAACTAATAAGGTACCCTGCCCAAACACATGTTCTGCATACATGGAGATATGCCTGTGTAAACAAATAATTCTCCCAAAACAAACTACTTCCGCTTAAATTGCACAATCCCACCCACAGCCCCCCCAAATGTACAACGATATCTCGGTGCGTTTAGACCGTTAATGAGAGCTCGTACCCTTATTTTTACACCATATGGTGTTTTTTTTCTATACCTGTTGAAGCCCTGATCCAGCTCAGACACATGCTTGACATGTCAATTAAAATATTGATCCGACTCATTAATATTCTTGACAACTGTTCCAAGTCTTTCCTATGTTTAGGTTGTCCAATTTAGGTTGTCAAAATCCAGCGACATTTGTCAAAATAATGCCAGTGCTATACCAGGTACAGAGAGTAATTAGAAAAGTATGTTCTATTTGAAAAACTGAATAGCTGCATCAAATTTACTGCTGTCAAGATTTATCATGAGGAAAAATCATGTGTTTGGCATGCAAGCACACTGTGAGGTGGTCACTATGTTGTAGGCATCCATCGACTTTCTACACTCCATTAACCTCCTTTACAAAGTAAATACTTTTTAAAGTTCATACAATGTAAACTTTTCAAAAACCATCAATAAAAGAACGAAATTCACACTTCAATAATTTTATATGACATTAATAAAGTAAACATTGATATTTAGATAATCTTGCCTGTTCAATCAATTACACAATCTGCATCTTTATCAAAATTACCAAAGCCACTTTGTTAGATTACTGATTCTGCCTGTTCCATAACAGAAGACCTGTTTATTCATTAAAAGTTCTAATGATTTTATTTTTTTTGTGTACTATAATAAATTTGATTCCAACTCAATTATCCATAATGACGGTATGTAGATAAAATCATCAAATCCTAAGCAAAACAGTTTAACTGTTAATATAAGGAGATTGAATTTCTTGAAAGGCGTTTGGAAATAACTTTTTTATGATTTACTGTGTCATAGGTAAACCCACCTACAAAAAAGTGTCTGGATACTTTTTTATATTTATATAAATGTTAGAAAAAAAACAGAAATAAACATCCCTACCATTATCTCTATCTATTGGATAGAGTTTTGTCAACATTAAATTCATTTTGTAGTAATTGTGATAAAAATTTCAAACTGATGTGCTCGACATGTTCCTTGCAAAGTGGGGTTGTCATTTGACCTGTTTGTTAGCATGATATTTGAATACAAGAACATTTTTTGGGGTGTTTGGGGTGTTTGGGGGTGTTTG